GAATGAGGTTCAAATGCCAAACATCCTACGGCTTTGCTGGTGGAACCGTTTGCATTAGCCCGGGGCTGCGACTTACCGGCAAACTCCTTTTCAGAGAGCAGCGGTACGTGAGGCCAGACACACTGAAGCACTTATTAATGAATCTCAGTTCCTGTAAACAAGAACCGAGTTAAAAATAGGCCCCAAAGATGATTGCAGGGTGCAACGCTGCGTCGTGCAGTGCTTCTAGGAGTGAGATTTTTTGATCTGTAAAAGACATCTTAGATTTGACCTGAAATCAAGCAGCTGTGAGCAGCAGAATGCCAATGTCACGCTGTTCAGGAAGGTTATAAACACATCCCTCAGCTGATTATCATCTTATAACAAAAGCCATTGTTGTGGCTTACATTTTGGGAGCTCTTGTCCAGAAGGAACAGCTGAATGACCAGTTGTGTTGCAGCAGATCATCAGGATGAAACTGTTTATGGGGTGGCTGAATTGCAGCGTTTTCCTTGATCCATTTAAGACCGTGTGCAAGTGTTGCCCTTTAGCTTGCAAGCTTTTAGGAGAGCCTAAAGTAAAGGTCAAGTGACTTCAGCTCATTCCTTTCATTCCTTGACTTCCTAGAAGTTGTGCGGTTAGGCGTGGGGGGGGGATGGACCAGGTGGCCAGAAGTGATGGCTGAAATCTCTCCTTTCTATGCTTTTCAGCTGTCCCAGACTTCCCCAGCATAAGTGTTTTTTGGGACAGGTCCCAACATCCAAGACAAAGTGGTTGCATCTGTGGAGGATTTGGGGTCAGGCTTGTACTAACCAGTGTGCACCAGCTGCTGTATTCAACAAAGCCATGAGGTTACCTTCTTTACCCTCCCTGTGCCCTAGGTTTAGCGGCACGGCAGAAGAGGAGCTGCTTGGCCATTCTGGAGGCGGGTCCGGCGGCTACCTGGAGCACATCTACAGATATGCAGCCAAGGACCTCTTTGGGATTGAAGTGGCTGAAGTGCAGTATAAGCCTTTAAAGTAAGGAGTCAAAGCTGCTGCCCACAGAGCACTCTCTCAGTGCAGTTCTCTTTATGCTCTTATCCCGCCGCTGCCCAAAAAGCTCTTTATCCAACGTTAAACATTTTGCATCAAGCTCTGGGAATTGGCTGCTTTCTCCCACATTTAATTTAGCCATAAATCAGCCGCCAGTTTGTGCAGCCGTTTCCCTCCGTGACTTCCTCGCCCTTTCCCCACCACCCACATGCTTTAATTTAGCTCTGTCAGCGTTCCCCGTCTCAGGCTGCGGTGCACTCGAGAGCAGTCTGGATGACAAAACTCTTGGACACAAGCGCTTTCACTTATCCAACCCGCTAAAAAGCAGGTGCACTAGCACTAGCATCGGTGTTGGCAGCAGCTGGCTTAAATGAGTGGGGGTCATCTGGGTTCTCTTTCTGGGTTTTGGCCCCCAGTTGCTAGGAAGACCACCGGCAAGGCAAGTAAGCCTTTTTCTCTGCCTGAGGTGGCCTGTATCTAAAGTGAAACTCTTGCTAACCTCTGTTAAATGTACCCTGTGCACGGTTTTATAATGGTGTATAGCCATATTGAGTTAACGTCATTTTCTAGCTCAATGGAATGCCCCCGAGTGGAAGCAATCCTCAACCACCTCGAAATACACTTATAATGAAAACACCCAACTCATTCCCTTGCTGTGGACATTTTTTCCATTTATTATTGGAGGGACCTGAGCTCTTCAATATCCATTTTTGCATGGTGGGATTACCTGTAATTTATAGTTCTTTCTTAAAACAGCCTCACTGTTTTGCCTGCTGGCAGAGGGTAGCCAGGAAAGCCCATAATGTTCACATAAAAGCTTCTTCGCTCAGGGTCTTTGCTAACTCGGTCATGCAGGTGAGAGCATCCGCTACCCAGGGATGCTAAGATGACTCTGAGATCTCCTAAGTGGTATTTGCAGTGTGTGATGCTCCCCAGTCAGATAGCCCAAGCTGGCCTGACCCGAGGAGCTCAGTAGGCCTACACGCTTGACGGGAAGGATGCTGGACAGAGTTCAGAGCTTGAACACAAGTGCATAAGTGGGGAGGAAAGTCGGGATACCAGAATGCCCCGTTGTGGCTCTGGGTCTCGGCTCTGAACAGCAGAACAATTAATGCACAGACACTGATAAGCTATATGCCTCAAGTGCCATCTGCGTTATATAGACCTGAAAACATTTATCTTCAAGCTTAAACATGCTTCCTTTTAGATTGGGGACAGAGCTGGGACCTCCAATTCAGCA